TGTATCAGTCATATGTATTTATGAAAATACATATGGGTATTAATGGAAAATATGTAGTGAGGACAGCCTATACAGTACAGTACAGTAAAACTGATATGTATAACACATTACAAGAAACTTTCAAGATAAATTTTTGATGGAGATGGATGTCACTGGCCCAGTAATGGTATACTGTATATGAATCCTGATATACAGTATATAATGTTAACAATTTGGGTTAATTTAGATATTAACTTTATCTTGTTTGTTTTCTTGAGTATTTTACAGATGGTTGAAGTAATGTTTCGTCATTATCGGGCCATTAAGTATGAATTGGTTGGTCGTCGTAACTTCTACTCAGCAGGAGGAGAGTTTGGAACGCCATATCCAATTGGATGTGGCAAGGAAGGTGTGACTGGTTTTTTTGGGTCGATGAGGCCTGCATCTTGGAAGGATGGATCTCTCTTACTGAATATTGATGGTATGATTGTACGAGTATATACATGTTTGTCTTGTAATGTGTCAGTCTTGTTGATATATAGCACATTTGCTTAAGATTTAGTTTTGTAATTACTGAATATCATGTATTTCTTTATACAGTAGTCAGAAAATATGAAATTATTGATTGATTATAAAATTTCATTAGCTCTAAATCTACTAAATCGCTTAGTTTGCTTGTTATTAAAACATTTTATCTCTATTTTTAGTTGCACACACAGCATTCTATAAAGAACAACCTCTTCTGAACTTTATTCAAGACTTCATGAATTTTAGGGAAGATGATTTTCATAGACCATTAGAGCCATTTAAACGATCAAAACTTTTGCAAGAACTAAGAAATATTAGGGTAAGTGCAGTCTTATGTATATTAGAAGCAAATACGGTGGTCCCTTGGTTAACGAACACAATTCGTTCCAGAGGGTCATTCGTCAACCGAAAATTTCGTTAACCGAATCCATTGTTTCAATGGGATATTGGGTAATTGGTTCCAGCTCACCGAAATGTGCATACAAAGTAAAAAAAAAATGCAGTAAAGTACACTTACTTTGAGGTGTGTATGTAGAAGGTTCCTGGATGATGATGATGGGAATTAGAAGTGGGGGTGGAGGAGAAGGGAGAAGAGAAGTAAGTGGGGATGGAGGAGAAATCATCTTTCAGGGACCCATGCTTGATGCAATCATTTCACCAATAAAATTATAAGTTCACTAGGTGTAATTCAAAATTATTTTATTTAAATCAACACTGCACTGCGCTATATATTATCAATGCGTTAACTAAATTTCAGAATGATCAATAATTTCAATGTAAAAATGCAAAAATATTCAAGACACCAACAAAATAGATGTTCACTCCACTGTCAACAAAGCCAAACTGACGCCTAGTGGCTGAGTCAAGCGGCTGATGGGCGCACAAAACACTAGTTCCCTGTACTGCATATATTATCATTATGTTGACTAAATTTTAAAATGACTAATAATTTTAATATAAAAAATGCAAAAATATTAAAGAGCACAACTTTCTTGATATTTACTCCACTGGAAACGAATGTAAACATAGAAGAGATTATTGAATTGGCAGACTAGCCCATCAACTGATGCTCACAACAAAACGTGTTGTTCTTAAGGACTTCGTTAATTGAAGATTTGTTCGTTAACCAAATTAAAGATCCTTATGGGAGGTAATTCGTTGACCAAAATTTCGTTAATCGAACCATTTGTTAACCGAGGGACCACTGTGTGTGTATATATATATATATATATATATATATATATATATATATATATATATATATATATATATATATATATATATATATATATATATATATATATATATATATATATATATACATGAGGTCCACACAAAATCTTTATAACTCGGCATTTAATATCTCGGAATTTAAACAGTATAATTCGGCATGTGTATGGTCTTGGAATTTATTATAAAATAATTTGGGAAATGCTGAGTTATCTAAAATTATCAGGGAAAATTTCGGTATTATTGAGCTTCATAATCAGGTGAATAAATTATAGACACCCTGTATATAAAAGACCGTACAAAGCTGGTAGCTTTTCTTTTTGGAATAAAATTTGTAGAGTTAATGAATGTGGTAAGAGTCATAGAGAACACAGTCCAGTATTTAATGATTTGGAATTACTTGTGCAAGGCTCACTTTCTTATGGAATTAGTTACAACCCAAGAGATTTAGACTCGTGAACCTGAAGCAGTAGAAACTGATGCATTATTCTGTCCAAAAATGCTTTGGATTCATGAGTAAATGTCGGGGTTTGTGTTTCAAGAGGAGAGGTGACAGGACTTTTGTGGGTGATTGTATAATGTTTTAATCATCATCCACATCATCATTAATGTTTTACAACCATTTATTGTGCTTATATAAGTTAGCTGTGATTATCTGTAGGCAACTTAACAAGGTGCATTGTGTCTTCATTCCTCTTTTGTCAGATTAATATCTTTGACATTTCTCACATCCTCTGTTTGTTATTCCTTGTTCTCCTCCCCTCCATATTCAAACTCCTGCATCCCTTGACTCAAATGGTTTCTCCATTCTCTCCACACGCCCAAACCATATAACTCTACCTCTCTGCAAAACCTCACCAATTAAAGTAACTTTTATATTTCAGGTGCAAGTTACACACTCCAATATCCCTCGCACTTACAAGATTATAGATGTTTCAGAACATTCTGCCGAGAAACAAACATTTCCTTTAAAAGATGAGAATACTGGGAACACAGTTTACTGCACCATTGAAAACTACTTCAAGAACCAATATGGAAAAAAAATTAAGTTTCCAAAGTTGAACTGTGTACAAGTGTCTCCTGCTGAAAGGAATGTGTTTATTCCATTTGAGGTATGATTGTAATTGTGATATATATATATATATATATATATATATATATATATATATATATATATATATATATATATATATATATATATATATATATATATATATATATATATATATATATATATATATATATATATGGAAGTTTTCATTTGTTTAACTTCAGGTATAGACTAGAGGTGCCGCGATCTGTCAAAATACATTTACAGGGTGAAACCAGTCCGGCACATTGGGACCTTAAAATTTTGGGCAGATACAGTACCCTGTACAATAAAGCCTCGAATAACGACAGTAATGTGTCCTCCAATAATGCAGTGTAAGGTAAATCATCGTGTTGTGAATCATTGATTACCTTTAAAATACTGTAAAGTAATAAGAGTGAGATACGTTTCAAAGTCTGACCTTTTCATATCTTTTGCGTGACTTTTTACCCTCTTTTCCCCCCAAACAATAAAGTTAATAAAAAATGCAAACTATATTCTTTAAATAATGCAGATTTATATAGTAATTAGGCCCCTTTAAAAAATTTAATAACTTTATCTAGAGACCAAGGTGGGATTCTCTAAGGATGATCTGAGCATTTGATAAATTCTTGGGTTCAAAGTAATATTAAAACTCAATGCCAGAGGGTCAACCAATGCTGATTTATAAGATGCAATTGTTGATCCTTGAAGGCCTTTAACTCTGAACAGAAAATCTAAAAATTCTAACACCACTGTGTCCGACAATGTGATTGGAGTCGCTAACCTGATAAATTGTTGAAAAAGTTTCAAAGCTTTCTCATATTGCATAGAAGTTTGGGGCCTATGACCTGCTATCACTTGGTTAACGATATTGGAATTACCCAACAATCTATTTAAACATCTTTCGAGAAACTGCAAGCGTGAAGTGCCAAGGATATCTCGAACTGAGGGTGCAGTACCTGTTCTATATATCCCTGTTGCAATTGTAGTGGATGCAGGCACCAGTCCAACAGATCGAGACACCATGGTTGTAGGATCCAATATGGTGCAATTAAGAAGGATCTGAGTTTGTGAACCACTTTGGGCAACATTTTGTGAGGCAAAGAGATCTATTTGTGGAGTCCCAAACCTCCTCACTAAACTCTTGAACTTCTATATCTTTAGGGACCATTCTGTTTCTGTTGATACTGGTGTAGTGGATTCCTCCCCTACAAACGCCGTTTGTCGCTGAGTAGCCGACCCTCTTTGAATTCCCCAGCCTGCACCTCCAGCGCCGCCTGACGTAGCGGGGGTCAACTATCAACCCACGCCTACCCCCGCCTTATAAGACCTCACCCCGCCGTGACCACCCTCTTTCTACCTACAGCCACCAACAAGCAACACCACCTCCTCCTCAGCTCCAGCCTGGCGGCTCCCGCTCCCGCCGGCGACCATGGCGTCCCTGAAGCTGCGTGCCCTCCTCTGGGCACCCTCACCAACCAGCTCTCTCTACTCAACGCATGTAACCATGCTGCCTACCTAGCACCAAGCTGCATTGTACATCCAATACAATATGTATACAGAGAGCACATCGTGAGTTTCCTTTCTCCAACCCATCCTGAGAGTGAACCAATATCTCATAACCCTACACTGGCCTTAGACGGGACAACGCATCTGCCCAATTGTTTTGGACTTCCGGTATGTGAGTTGCTTTGAGGTAAAGTGTTTGCGTTACACAAACTTTGAAAAAAATTTCCGATAGGTTTAGAAGAGGCCAAGATCTGGTTGAGCCTTGATTGAGACAAAACACTGCCTTTCTGTTGTCCATGGCAAACAGAATCGTCATGTTTTTGAAATTTGGGTTTGCCAACAAAAAGAATAGGACTACTGCTAATTTTTTGTTTATGTGTTTGTCCCAAAGGGAGTTGCTCCACTTCCCTTGAAGGAACTCTCCATTTAAGGAATGGTATCCCCATCCTATTTAGGATGTGTCTGTACAAATGAAGCTAGACGTCGCATTCTGGATTGAACAAAAATAACGTCGTCAGTTACCCATCTGAAACTGAAAGAAATAGGACCCTGGTTGTTGCTGTAGTAAAATTAACGTAAAAAAATATGTACCGGTATGTGTAAATTAATATACAGTAGAAGTAACCACCGATGGTAAAGAAAAAAGTGAAACTGATAGCGGAATGTCAACGTATACGTGCGCACTCAAGGAAACAGCGTAATATATCTTAAGAATATGTACAAAAGATTCATTATTGTTTACCCGCATTAATGATTATGTAATTGATTGAATGAATGTTTATATATGCAAAATGAACAATACAATTCATTAATAATATGTAGAAAATTAAAATACACAAGAGGAGACGAGACGACATTGTTTTCGTTAGTGTTTACACCCGTGATGATGGTTCTACATATGAAACTGAAAAAAATAAGACCCTAGTTGTAGCTGTAGTAAAATTAATGTAAAAAATGAACATGTATGTTTTAAGTAATGGTATTTAATGTTAATGAATGGAACATTAGAAGTACCTTGTGGGGTATGAGATTGTTTGTGTTCACACTCAGGATGGGGTGGAGAAAGGAAACTCACAATGTGCTCTCTATATACATGTTGTATTGGATGTACAATGCAGCTTGGTGCTGGGAAGGCAGCATGGTTACAAGCGTGATGTAGAGAGAGCTGGTTGGTGAGGGTGCTCACAGGAGGACAGCTTGTGGGTCGCCACGCTCGCCGGCGGGAGCGAGGACCGCCAGGCAGGCGGAAGAGGTGTTGCTGGCTGGTTGGTGTAGGTAGAAAGAGAGAGGTCACAACGAGGTCAGGTCTTAAATAGCAGGGGGTAGGCGTGTCTTAGTAGTTGACCCCCGCTCCGTGATGTATGGCGGCACTGGTTGACCTAGACCACGAGGCACACACTGTGGAATTCGTGGGGTCGGCTATGCAGCGACAAACAGCGTTTGTAGGGGAGAAATCCACTACAACCTAACCACTAATTGTAAATACAAAAAAAAAAAAGCAAGACTGCACAACGCCAATGTAAGTAAGTACCTACATGTGAAACCATATCATAATTTCTCTACATAAGAATATGAAAGCAACTCTTATTACTGTTAATATAGGTTTTAAATAATACTTACGAATGTAAAACAAAAATTCTACTCACCAATGGTGGTAAAGTCGAAAACATAAGGACAGCCAATGAATGCTGTTGTGTGAGTTTATACTCAGATGACGAACTCGTAAGGTTCAACTCTGGCTGAAGCTGTAGCTTTCCATAAAGATGTCATAGCTGTTGCTGAAACTGTTACTGAACCTGCAGTTCCTGAAGCTGCTGCTAATGCTGAATTTGATGGTGTAGCTGCTTTTTTTTTTTTACGGGAATTAGCCCACCCGGGCACAGGTTAAACGACCCACAACGGAGCCTGGGGGGCGAAAAAAAAAGAACGGAAAGAAATTGTAAATATAGAAAAAAAGGTTATACTGTATTAATCTACACCACGAAGATGCCGGAAAACCAGCTTTTTAAAGTGAGACAGATTGTAAGAGCATGGAAACACAGAAGAAGGCAGAGCATTCCACAGCTTGACTGTGTGAGGAAAGAAGGAGGTACTATAACGGGTTATTCTCGTGTGACCGAGATCCACGGAGAAACGGTGGGCACCGCAAGCAAGACGTGTGTTACGAACCCACGGCCTTGCCGGCGGTACACAGGATGCCAAATCCACTGAACATTGCCCGTTAAAGTACCTGTAAAAGAGAGAGAGTGAAGCAACATTGCGGCGAAGAGAAAGGGAAGAGAGATTGTCGACTAAAGGAGGAGAGTTAATAAGACGAAATGCCTTTGATTCCACCCTATCTAATACTGTAGTTGGACAGAAGAGCCACCCCAGATATGAGAGCAGTACTCCAAGTTAGGACGAATGAATCCCTTATATACTTGGAGCAACTGCTCAGGAGTGAAGTAGCTGCGGCATCTGTACAGCATTCCCAACTTTCGGGAGGCAGCTTTAGTTATACTAAGGATGTGTGATTTCCAGGACATATTGGAGGAAATGGTGAGGCCTAACATATTTATTTCAGAATTTGGGAGGATGATAGAGTCCTGAAATGTAATTGGTGGGAGATCGTCTAATTTACAAAGTGTAATTGGTAAATATTGAGTTTTATTACTATTGAACTTAACCAAGTTTGTATCTCCCCATTCAGAGATGCTGCACAGATCCGCATTGATAGAAGTAATGATATCAGTTCTAGAAACAGATCTAGTTTGAGAGTTAGGAGGAAGGGGAAAATGTGAGGAAGAGTGAAGAGTAGAATCATCGGCGTAAGAATGGATAGAATTAGTTGTAGTGTGAAGTAAATCATTGATAAAAAGAAGGAAGAGAGTTGGTGAAAGAACAGAACCCTGTGGGACGCCACTATTGGTTGAGAAAGAGCGAGAAATCGATCCCTCGACAACAACTGCCATGGATCGGTTCTCAAGGAAGCTAGAGATGAGAGAACAAAGTGGGGGAGAGAAAACAAAGGAGGGAAGTTTAGATGGCAAAGACTTGTGCCATACCCTGTCAAATGCTTTGGAGATGTCGAGGGCCACGACAAAAGTTTCCCCATAGTCCCTAAGAGAGGATGACCAAAGATGGGTGCAATAGGAGAGCAGATGGTGTAGCTGAAGTTGATGGTTTAGGCCTTTGAATAATAAAGCCGTTGATAGAACCTTGCATAGCTGCATTTTTTCTCATTATATATCTTTATGTAGGGGTCATATGCGTTTTCACGTCCCTGTTAATTTTAATGCTTCGTTCAGTTAATGGATCCACTTCAGAAAATATGTTCATTGCTTGCTGCATATAATATCTACAGACCTCTCACCTTTTTCATAGCGTTTTAACACATCTTGTTTCTCGGCCAAGCTTATACACTTTCTTTTAGCTTTTGAATCAGCACTACCATCACTTGCTCTCTTGCTTATGCTAAATAGGGAAGCAAAAATGCTGTGAGAAACCCGAGAAAGTTTTTCTCCTTTTCCTGTTCAGATGCACGAAACCAAAAGGCCCGCCAAGCTGTGACTGTTTATACTAGTGATGCTGGCATCACCACTCACATGCCCTGCAGTCTCCATGCGCAAGGCATGTTTTTTTTTTTTATAATATACATTGGGATTTAGTTATTATTTATATGAAATTGTAATTTTATTTTATTTTTTATTATATTTTCGTCGTAAATACGAAGGAAATAACAGTGTAGATTGAATTGGGTCCTAAATAAACCAGGGTCTTAAATATGAATCGTCGTTAGTAGAAGCGTCGTTTTCGGAGGCTTTCCTGTATACCGTAGGCATACCCCGGGCTACAGAAGGGTTCCGTTCCGAAGGAAATCTTTCTGCAACGCGAAACCATTTTTTCCATATACAGGGGTCCTCAACTTACGAACGTCTGACTTACGAAAGCCCGCTGATACGAATGGGGTTAAACTTGAAACTTACAGTATTTTATTTACCTGATGACTTATTTTTTACTTTCATTTATTGTATTTTGTTATTCTATTTCTTCTTTTCTCTTAAATTAAGTGATTTTAGATGTATATAAAGACTTAGGCTATGATATAGTGGGATTTTAAACATTGCTCTGTAAGTACGGTATGCACATAGCATGTGTTCCGTCTTATGTACATTTCCGACTAAAGAACTTCCTCAGGAATGGAACCTGTTTGTAACCCGGGGACCCCCTGTACTGCACTGTACTTCACTGCAACTGAGTGTTATGACAAACCAATAGTCATGCTTTGGAACAATGCCAAACTTTTGGTTGTTTGAATATTAATTACAAAAACAACTATGAAAAATATTAAGATAGGCATATTCAAACTTAAACTTATGTTGAGAATTTCCAGGAAATGAGTTGTTAATATTATTTTGGGGATTCAGCTTGAGGAACCTTATGTTACATACCTGGTAATTTTGAAAAGTAAAAAATTCTCATGAATATTCTTTTACAGTGCTGCAAGATTTACAAAGGTCAAAGAGTGGTTAAGAAGCTTAGTGATCGAGAAACTGCTCAATTTATTAGGACAACAGCTGTTCCACCAGCAACAAGAAAGAAACAGATATGCAATATTCATCGCACCAATGACTTTACTCAAGATCCAATGCTGAAGAATCTGCAGTTCAGTATAGCAGAAAGAGTATGACCTCTCCCGTTTCTTTTATATGCAGTAATCACCATTTTATATATGAACCATTAGGCTTTGAGCCATTTTATATATATATATATATATATATATATATATATATATATATATATATATATATATATATATATATATATATATATATATATATATATATATATATATATATATATATATATATATATATATACAGTGACCCCTCCGTTAACGAACTCAATCCGTTCCAGAAGGTTGCTCGTTAACCGAAACCATTGTTTCAATGGGTTTTTGGGTAATTGGTTCCAGCTCACCGAAAATTTCCTAAATTCAACAAAAATGGTAGAAAAGTTCACTTACTTTGAGGTGTGTATGTAGAAGGCTCCTGGATGATGATGGGATTTAGAATGGGGGTGGAGGAGAAGGAAGAAGAGAAGGAATTGGGGTGGAAGAGAAGTCACCCCATGGTGCCATTTCACCCATAAAATTTTAGTTCTCTTGGTGTAATTCAAGATTATTTTCTTTAAATCAACACTGCACTGCATTATATATTGTCAATATGTAAAAAATATTTCAAAATGACCAATAATTTGCTTGGAAACACAGAAAAAAAGCATTTAGTTGAAGAGAGTCTCAAGCAAGATGTTACCTCCAGTGAAAACAGAGAGAGACTAACTCCTGTTTGCTGTGTAAAGAGGCTGGAAGCCGCGCATTAAACTAGTCACTTTACCTTCAATTATGTTCAATAATTGTTAAAATGACTAAAGAAATTGAATATTAAACTTTTAAAATTATTGAATAGTATAAACTTCTTAATATTTACTAAAATAGTAAGGAATTTAAGCCCTAGAACTGATTAATGTATTGGCGGACTGATACTAAAGCTGGTTGCCCGGTCAGTGCAAGCGAAAACATGTTGAGGTCGGTTCGTAAGAACTTCTTTAACTGAATTTTTTTTCGTTAACCGAATTGAAGATCCTTATGGAAGGCAGTTCGTTAATCGAAATTACGTTAACTGAGGTGTTCGTTAAACGAGGGGTCACTGTATATATATATATATATATATATATATATATATTATATATATATATATATATATATATAATATATATTATATATATAATATATATTATATATATAATATATATTATATATAATATATATTATATATATAATATATATAATATATATTATATATAATATATATATATATATATATATATATATATATAATATATATATATATTATATATATAATATATATATATATATAATATATATTATATATAAAATATATATTATATATATTATATATATTATATATATAATATATATATATATATATATATATATATATATATATATATATATATATATATATATATATATATATATATATATATATATATATATATATATATATATATATATATATATATATATATATATATATATATATATATATATATATATATATACTGTATATATGTAGAGGAGTCTTAAGTTATTCTCTTATAAATGTCAATGAATGTGACTTTATAGTAATGCATACAAGCACCTCATGAGGCATCACACAAGAAGCTTTGAATTTCTGTACATGTAAAGTATTTCATGGGGTAAAGGGAGGCTCAAGAACGTAACTCCCATATTTTATCTATTTCTTTTAGGGAAAATTGGTCCGCTTAACGTTGTTTTGTATATCGTCGCGTTTTTAGGAACGTAACCCCAACGTTAAGCAAGGACTTACTGTAACTATTTTTCTATAACCATTTTAAACTTTCTGATCACACATGCCATTTTTCATAATTGCAAAGGCAACTCAGTAGGGCGTGTTTGTATCCCCCAGGAGGTCAGGGATGTACGGCATGTTTGTGTGCATACCCCAGGAGGTCAGGGCTGTAAGGCATGTGTGTCCTCCAGGAAGTCATGGCTGTAGGGCTTGTGTATGTGTACCCCAGGAGGTCAGGGCTGTAAGGCATGTGTAACCCCCATGAAGTCAGGGCTGTAGGGCTTGCGTGTGTGTGTCCCCCGGGAGGTCAGGGATGTACGGCATGTTTGTGTGCATACCCCAGGAGGTCAGGGCTGTAAGGCATGTGTGTCCTCCAGGAAGTCATGGCTGTAGGGCTTGTGTATGTGTACCCCAAGAGGTCAGGGCTGTAAGGCATGTGTAACGCCCATGAAGTCAGGGCTGTAGGGCTTGCGTGTGTGTGTCCCCCGGGAGGTCAGGGCTGTAGGGCATGTGTGTGTCCCCCAGGAGGTCAGGGCTGTAGGGCATGTTTGTGTCCCCCAGGAGGTCAGGGCTGTAGGGTATGTGTGTGTCCCCCAGGAGGTCAGGGCTGTAGGGCAAGTGTGTGTTCCCCAGGAAGGGGACTCTGTGATGTGTACTTTTACTTTTATCCTCTTCACCACTGATCGGCTTGCTTGCTGCTTGGGCGATCGGTTACATCTCTGTTAAAAATAAAATAATAAAATAAGAATGATAGCAATAATAATAATAACAACACTAATACTACTACTAATAATATACACCCATAAAAAATCCAAAAATGAAAAAAAAAGATCAAAAGTGAGAAACAATATACTGTATTGTGTTTAAATGTGGCAGAAAGTCAGATCAGCAACCTGGGACTTGGTCACAATTTTTGTGATGCCATATGGCAGCAGGGTCTACCATTAGATATTACATTATGCTTCCAATATCTTCCCAAGTGGTAGTACTTCCCTGTTTGGTAGCTACCTACTAAAGTCAAATTATTGATGTAATATGCAGTTAAAAAGTATAACAACATATGATAGTGTAATAATGTTCCTGGTATTTATTGTCAGTAAAGCCTACCAATCTTTTAACAATGATTTCTTACGGTACAGTAAAATTAACAGTGGGCTTTCCGGACCATTGGATGCTGGACTATTGGACCTTTACTGTATATATTAAATTTTTTTCATATTTCTTTGAATCAGCCATTACACATGGAAGGCAGAATTTTACCTGCACCTGAGTTGTTGATGGATGCACCAGTTCAACCAAGAGAAGGAGTATGGGATGCTAGGAGGAGATCATTTTACAGAGGAGCAGATATAAACACATGGGTGGTGATGAATTACAATCCAAGATTTGTTGACCAACGAAGTACTGAGTAAGTTTTGAGATTCAAAGTACAGTATTCATCTTCTTTTATCGGTGGGTGTAATCCAAGAAGATTCATTTATAGTGCAACCCTTAAGGGAGATCAGAAACTACAATTTCCACTTAGATTGAGTGTGTTTGGTACTACAGCAGCTTACACACAGAACTACTCTTGCCCAGCATTTGACTAGATACATTTAATGTTTTTCCTTATCTAAAGTATGCACACAACAGGGGGTTTTCTTTACTTTGTTATTTAAGGGGTAAAACAAAACATTCAACCAAGTTTGTGGAAACAAAATGTGACATAGTCTACCAGTAGGTCTGAGGTAACATGGATGAGCTTGTGGGGTACGAGTTGTTTGGGTTCACACTCAGGATGGGATGGAGAAAAGAAACTCACAATGTGCTCTCTGTATACATGTTATATTGGATGTACAATGCAGCTTGGTGCTGGGAAGGCAGCATGGTTACAAGCGTGATGTAGAGAGAGCTGGTTGGTGAGGATGCTCAGAGGAGGACAGCTTGTGGGTCGCCATGCTCGCCGGCGGGAGCGAGGACCGCCAGGCAGCGGCGGAGGAGGTGGTGTTGCTTGCTGCAGCTGTAGCTAGAAGAAGAGACAGGTCACCACGAGGTCAGGTCTTTTATAGCGGAGGTAGGCGTGGGTAGATAGTTGACCTCCGCTCCGTGGGCGGCGCTGGTTGACCTAGACCACGAGGCATACACTGGGGAATTCGCGGGGTCGGCTACTCAGCGACAAACAGCGTTTGTAGGGGAGAAATCCACTACAAGCTTATATCACAGTAAACTGGAAATTCCTCAAAAGTGGTTCAGTCTTGGTCCCAAAGGTACTGGATTTCTGGGTCTATACCTTACTTCTGTTTTTCAATATTGTGCTGGATCCCAGATAATTAATAGTTACCCCTTGAATTCCATGGGTTGTGTATCCCAGGGACCCAACATTTGAATTTTATAAAGCAAGTATCGCACGTGTTCCTTTTTTATATCTACCTTATGTGCTTATTTTAAACATATATTTTGACTTGCAGGACATTCATTACCAAATTACTTCACATGGCTGATGAGAAAGGGATGAAATTTTCTGAGCCAGTTGCTGCATTTGGTGTATGGAAACCCTGTCCTGAGCAAGATTTTACAAGGCTTAAGCAGGAATACTCAAACCTACAATTGGTATTAGTTATCTTAGGAAGAGGAGGTGATCTTTATGGTGAATATGACATAGCATTAACTTCTGGTCTCTATCAAGCAGAGTAGATAATAGATTTTCTTAAAACAATTTTTTTTTATTATATTATGAAAACTTAATTAAATAAAAAAAAGTAAGGTTAAAATGTGCATGTGAACATGAAATAATTATAAAGATATCTTTATTATCACCATCACTGTTTTTCTCAATTGCATGCTATAGCTATGAATATCTGATGGCAGCTCTAAAAGTTACCATACATGGTCACTAGCAGCCTCTCTCATCATTTTTGGTTGACCCCTAGCTGTCTGTTGCTTATCAGACAAAAATTTATGGCACTTAATATATCAAGTAACATTTGGCAAAAACCCTGCAAGATCTAAGTACAGTTACCTGTACTATACAGAATTGATGAATTGTTAATTGAATGCCAATTCCTGATTTATAACTTGCCTATCTCCAGTATACTGTATGCTAGTTTGTGAGCTCATTATCCTACTTGTGTTACTTTCCTACCTTATGTATTTACAAATAAATATTCTCTAGGGGTGCGCTATTTAAATTTTTGCCGGGACCCAAATCCGTATACAGTGAACCCTCACTTTACGCGGTCAATTGAACCCACGGCGGCCCGCGTAAAGTGAGAAACGCGTAAAGTGAACAACATAACATATGGGATTAATTGAAATAGAGACCGGGCCGACCCCCAAACTCCACTTTTTCAGATACAATACCTATGTTGTAGTAAAAATAACTTCTTAATTTTATGATGGTATGCACACACAATTAATAATTAAGAGAAATATCAATAATATTAGGTTCTTTAACACTTACATTAGTAGAAAAGATGGCTGGGCACACGGGGATGGGGGGTTGGTTCCGAGGCAGAGGGGAGATTATTGGCCCTCACTTGTATCAATTGTATCACTATCCACCACAGAGGCTTGCAGGGCCTCTTTGTCAAACCCCTCAAAGTCCATATAAGTCCATATCCTCATTATCATTATCACTATCACTGACTTGGGCCGGCTGTGGTGGGTGGCGGGTGAGGAACTCGGTAATGTTTTGATGACTGGGCGACCTTGTGTGCTCCCTGCTCGCGCCGCTCTGCGCGTAAAAGGGTACACACACCGCGGAAAGTGAGCATTATGTGTTCGGCAGGGTCCCGCGTAAACGCGTAAAGTGGGACCGCATAAAGCGAGGGTTGACTGTATATAAGAGGGGTAGTAATATAGGAAATTCATATTATTGAATTTTCGTATACCAAGGGATACTGGTACAATACTGTTATCCTTTGTACAAAGGTTTATGAAAGGTCTTTTATTTTGTCATTTTACTTTGTTGGGTATACAGTAGTGGAATTGATCCCATTTCTTGATTGATCTGGGTTTTTGTAATGTGACTATTTTATATTTTAGCTCGTATCAAGAGGACAGGGGACACTGAAGTTGGTATATTGAGCCAGTGTGTTCAAGCAACAAATGTGACTGCAATTAAACCACAGACACTTGGAAACATTCTCCTGAAGATCAATGCAAAGATGGGTGGTATTAACAATGTTCTTTCAAGAACTGGAATGCCTATGGTAAGTTTGAATCATGGAAATTATTTTTACAATTGTTATTTTACCAGAACCAGTAAAAGTACATCAACATGTTAATGAT